ATATTTATATATATAAATGGCTTACTCTTCCTTGTCGCCCTGCACTCGCTCAACAGCTCGCTTCTCCTTTGGGGTCTGTTTGTGTACTTATTAAATATTTAAAAGCTTGGCCTTTGTTTCAGACAGCGCACCACGGCAAATACTTAATAATAATTTTTAACAACTGCCGCAAACTCTGCAGGTTACCATACCGTCATGTAATTCATTTTCATTGCCCCGATCCCAGACATCGTTCCTTTGATAAACTGCACGCACAGGGAAAGAGAGCGACTTCACTTTCTTACGTGGCTCCCTGCCAATTGTTGAATTCAGAAGTTTGAGTCGCGCTCACATTTTAAATTATGGTTTGCCGCGTTTAAAATACAAATTACACGATACTTATGGCTATATCTTGCGCTCTGACTCATACGCATACTCAGACTGATGAGGCAAGTGGGTCAGCACAGGTAAGACACAATAAGTGCTTATTAAACGGTTCCCATTTGCTTACAAATATTTCTAGAATATTTCTAAAGAAAGGAATTTTCCACGGTTCTTTGGCTCCTTTGTTCTTTCCCTCTGTGGTTCCCACACGCAACCTTCAGCAGAAGACACTTTACAGTTGGGTCTACGGAGGCGGTTAATTATGGTTTCGAAACAAATCTGAAGTTACAATGCTACTCAGTTTAAGAAATGCCCGATGATTATTTATTATTTATCGTCTGAAATGCAACGCAGCTGACAAGTGTTTCCGGCTTTAAATCAATATTTGACTTAAAGGATTGTCAATCAAGCTAAACAAATTATTCGATAAGTTAATGTCCGATAATAGGCGTGGCAGACCCCATAAAATATATGTATTCTTGATCAGGGCGACGAGCTGAGTCGATTTAGTTCTGTCCGTCTATGCGGATGTTTGAACGCGTTGATCTCAGAAGATATAGAGACATAAAATTTTGATTCCTAGGTCCGTTATTTTGTTATCGATTAAAACCATATCGAAAATTCGTAATAAATTTATATCTGCTACATCTTTAGAACCAGAGTAGCAAAATTTTAATTGTAGATTCATATGTACTTTATAGAATTTCGTATTTTGTTAAAGTTTCGTAGTCGAGCAGTCTCGACTGTAGCTTTCCTTCTTGTTTACAATTGAATTATATAATTGGAGGAAAATGTACATTATTATTATTATGTGAAAGACAATTATCTGTAAAATAATAAAAGCGATGAGTCATATTATTCGCAGATCATTCAAATAATAAGGCTTAATTTAATTATAATTAAAGACTTCATATATATATAT